CGTTTGTGTAGAATTAGAAATAATTTCGAAGTCAGCGTTTGTAGCCTGTATTAAGGTATTAAGATGGCTGTCTTTTGGGTTATAGCGCCGTATATTATGGTAAAATTAATTATGTTTCAGATATAATTGTTGCCTCCATCTTCAGGACGGCGCTACAACCAAGACGATAGCCATATTTTATACTTGTCGCCATGGTAACTTCAGATCCTAATGTCTTGAGGTATTATCCGAGTGTTTTACTAAATAAACTGAGTAAAACAACGATAGCCCTCAGTATAGCCTGCTTCTGTACCAAGATTATATTTCCGAAAATTTGGGACCTATATCGCTAATATTTACAGTTACTAAGACGTCTTATTGCGCTAACGAAGTGAAGTGTAATCTTAAATTCTTGATCTTGGGTTTAGGCATGTGTCGATCAGATCTGATAACTTGCTGGCGTGCTTGGTCCGCTCAACACCACAGATACTGTTGTCGATATGAATGGATCATTGAGCGCATTGGTAAAATGATAAAGAGCATAGATAAGTGAACTATTAACAGATAACTGGCCACTGTTATTTCGTCGACTACACATCCTTCGTAGTCTGAATGATTGTCTAGCTCGCTCCAGTACCTTAACCCAAAAATTTCTCGTGCGTTTTTCTCATCGCCCTGACGATGGAGGAAAAACGAACCTTTGAAGCGTCTGTCAATGTCTACGAGGTGCGATCGGAAAGTTTCAAGACTGTGTCAATAGCGGGCGAACCGGATGTAGTACGAGCTTCTGCCGCTAGGGGGTGCGGCCTACATTCATAGTGAATCAGTGTGCCAGCCGGCATCATCGAATTAGCATTTGTTTCTTAGTTACGGGCGTTTTGGTAGTGCATTACACCGACCCTCCTGCGATTTCGGAATGGCGGATTTTCATGAACAAAGAGTGTGCATCAAATTTTGCCAAAGACTCGCCAAAACGGCTAAGGAAACCTATGAAATGCTAAAGCAAACATTTGGGGAGTCCGCAAACTTTTGTGTGGCATTCACGTTTTAAAAATGGCCGAACCTCTGGCG